CTGTAGAGATAGGAAAATTGAAACCATTTTATGAGCTTTCTCTATGCACGTGTTGTTGCCATAATTCTACTAATTATTTGAATGATATGACAGATGGATGGATTTGATCAGACTGTGAATGTGAAGGTCATCATGGCCACTAACCGTGCGGACACGTTGGACCCTGCACTTATACGTCCTGGTAGACTTGATCGTAAAATTGAATTCCCTTTGCCTGATAGACGGCAGAAGAGGCTGGTTTTTCAGGTAATTGTCTAGTGAATATACCTAGTGTCTTATTTCTTAGCTTTCCATTTGCTTTAAACGATAGGAATTTGTTCGTCCCATATGAATTGAATGGTAACGTTCTCATCAAATGCATAGTTACTTTTTGGCAAAGAGTGTTCTCTCTCTCTTTGGATACACATAAATCTGTGAAGTGATTCTGCATGATTTGTGTGGATTCATGATTGTTACTTGTCCTTGGGCAGGTTTGCACGTCTAAGATGAACTTGGGTGATGAAGTTGATTTAGAGGACTATGTTTCTCGACCTGATAAAATAAGTGCTGCTGAGGTTTGTTTTCGTAACTACATTTTTTAATACAAGATGGTAATTTTTTCTAAGAAGTGCTGCTGAGGTTTGTTTTCGTAACTACATATTTTAATACAAGATGGTAATCTTTTCTAAGTTCAGTATTTGAGTATGTTCCCTTTCTGTCTTCAGCTTCTTTAGTCTTGTATTTTCAGTATATCTTGCATTTATGCGTTTATATTGTAGATTAGTCTGTGCATTCATTATGTACCTTTTCATAAGTTATCCAGTAACGAAGTATCATTTGATTACACTTAATTGATTAAGGAAACAAAGTCAAAATAATTCATGAGATGGTATGATAATTACGTAATCTTCCTAAGGAATCCCGGGTAATGGACAGTCTTTGTGAGTTGCGCACATAAAAAGATGAAAAGGTTAAAAACCACTAGCATTACAGCTAATAGATTTTTGCACTGAGAAGTCATATCTTTTTTGGATATTAAAAATTTAGAAAGTAGTTTACTGAGAAGAGCTTGTGAAGAAATTGAGCATCACATCTCTTATTTGGTTGGAAATTTTGTAAGGTGCTTTTTATGCATCTTTGATGCAACCTTCTGTTTCAATTCACTTTCGTTTAGAATGTTCTGTTATATTTAGTAAAGATGCTATATTTATGGATGACCTATCAGAGATTTCTGATGAAATGCGAAATTTTATTATCTTATTGTGGTTCCTGGTTTTGTTAGACAGCTTAATTGCCTGGTTTTTTATTTGAAACCATAGACGGTATAACCTCCTATAAATTGACTACCTCTAATATATTATAAAATTTCCTGATCCTGACTTGGGATAATGGAATAATTAATAATTTCGATAAATTGACAAAATAATACTTTTAAGAAACGTCTCTGTGAATCTATGGTCCCATTCATACCATAAATTAATAATTTGCTAATAATGGACTAAGTTTCTTGATATAAGACTCCATTGCTGCGTTCTTTTTTCTCTCGAAATTTAAATCTAGTTGGATCTCATCTAGAACTTTCCTTAATTTGTCTGTAAGTTCTGGGGTTGTATATTCGACCACTTCTTTGTGCGTAATAGGCTCCAAAGTTGTATTATTTACTGTATCTTTAGGTTATTAATGCATTTAATTTATTAGATTAGTAGAACATAATTAATATTTGGTTTGTCAATGTATGCGAATTGGATCATAAATGTACTCTATTAATTAATTACTCTTCAAATTAATAGATTTAGCATGGTCACAACATTATTAATTTATAAAGGTTATAAAACTGTACATTTTTTACTTGTTTTTCTTTTTTGGTGCAAGCAGTGACTTCTACACTCATCTGTGTGTTGTGTTTTTCACTTTGGTCCAGCTGCAACAGTGTAAAGTTTGACCTATAGCCACAATCATCCTTAATCCATCATAAAATTGTTAGTTAATGGGTAGGGCAAAATAATTTATCTAATGGCCATCAACAACTCCTAAACGATGTTTGTAATAACTAATAACTTGGCCACCTAAACTTCTTTGTAGAAGTGATGAATAGCAGTTAATTTAAATTCAAATGATGTGTATAAGAAATTTATAAACATAATTATGCACAATCATTTACATAAATATACGCGCTTGCTGGAAAATTTATTTCACGTTCTATGTATCCATTGAAAACACGGTAAGAATTTTGTATAGCTAACTTTATTTTTCAAAGAATTGGCGAGCTTATCTCTTGTTTGGGATGAGGATTGGAAACAAAGTACGTCAAGGTCAAATCTTTGAGCCCTTATTTTCTTCCAAAACCATGGGACTTGCTTTTTGTTATCATTTCTCCCTGCTTTTGTCGGGAACAAGGTTTAGTTAGTTTTTTGCTGCATCATGTCTCCTTGTTCCAATGTAATTTTTTTGTTAGAACTTTTAGGGTATCCTTCTTGTTGTCGGTGAAGTAAAATTCTAAGTCATCAAATCTCGAAATTGTGTTGCATTAACTGTGTTGGTGGTTTTCTGCAGATTGCCGCTATATGTCAGGAGGCAGGTATGCACGCTGTGCGCAAAAACCGGTATGTTATACTTCCAAAGGACTTTGAGAAGGGATACCGAAGCAATGTCAAGAAACCTGACACTGATTTTGAATTTTACAAGTAATCTCAATTTTCATGTTTGGGAAATTGTATGTTCCTCAACGGTTCTGTGTTCATGTGGATTTATTGTAATAACTTGTAATTTGATGTTGACTTGTTGAGTAGAATTTGTTTTTCAACCTTGACGATACTCTGCTCTTCTTGTTTATTCCTACTGTACAATCATCAAGTAAGTTACTGTTGTTCTTGAGGAGTAACAGTGATTTTTGCAAGGAGCTGTTATTTTCTCCCTGTAATTGTTTGATATGAACCTCTCTTTTTCTTCTTGTTTCGTTCCTTGCATCATGTCGTACCTGTTAGAAATGGACTATATAGCCTATAGGCCCTTTTAGCAGAGGATTTGGAAAGTCATAAGCTCTATACAAAAAAGAGAAAATTACCCGAGAACCTGCATTTAAAGATTATATTTCAAAAAAAAGGAAGATTAAGTTTTTTTTCATAAATTAGGTGATAAATTAGATTAATTAAAATAATAAATTAAATTACCATCCAATACAACGCACCCCACCCCCAAATCCAAAATCCCCAAATCATTTCTTGCCTTCCCTGTTCCCTCTCTTCTCCACACTTTACCCTCTCTCTCCCTCTCTTTCAGCTGCAAAAAGCAGTCGCTATGCACAGTGGTGCCATCGGGTGTGCTGATGCTGCTCGTCACGTCGCCGTAGATGTCTCTGCTGCAAGCAATCGTCAGTCGCGCCACACAGCGCTTCGACACTACGTTGGTGCGGATGTTAGATTTGGGTGAAATGGTGATGCGATGGAGGGTAGTAGGATGTGGTGGTGGTGGTGGTTGTGTGAATATATATGGTGGTTGGGAGAATCTGTTAAATTGTGTGTGTGGTTTGTTGTGGTGGTGGTTATGGTGGCGAGTTGGTGGCTTGGAGGAAGTGGTGGCGGGTTTTGGTGCAGGTGGTGGCAATGGTGGTGGTTGATATTTCATCACTTCCGTCTCCCTCACTCTCTCTCATCTTCACCTTCTCTTTTTTCTCTGTCGGCGGAGTTCATTAATTTTCGACAATTTCAGACATGAAGTCTTTGTGGGAACTTGCTTATTTGCTGGAACCTGTTCCAGTCACCGTCATTTTGACAACCATAGCAGTGACATTTGCATCTGCTAGTCGAGCTCTGAATTGTGGAACAGAAATGGAGCGGAACCGGGACTTGTCTGAAGCATCCATTGCATTAGAGGTCTCAGGTGCTGATGATCCCAATAATGAGCTCTTGCAGCCTGCTTTTGATGCTTTAGTTCTCTTCTGTCTCAGAGTCACATTACACCCCTAAATCCTGCAATTGACCAATTGATAGTTCACGCAAGCTGGGGAGATTCTTAAGATAGGCTTCTGTTATGACACCTTCCCACAAGTTTTCAGATAAGTCGACTGCTTCCAAGGAAACAAGTTCTCCAAAACTCACTGGGATTTTTCTGCTCATTTGTTTTTGGAATTGAACCTCCGAAAGAGTTGTGCCAGAGACGAAGATATATCAGATTCTTGAGGTTGCCAAGTGAATTGGGAAGGTTTCCAGTCAATTTACTGAATCACAAATCCAGTGTCTCCAACCTGTTGTTTGAACATTCAGACAAGCCATCGATGAACTCCGTTATGTCACCATCAACTCTGTTGTTAAATTGATCGATTTGAGATCAAGGCGTTTCAGGCTAGTTAAATTGAATAACCACACCGGAATTGTGGAGTCAAAATCATTGTTGGAAAGGGAGAATATTGTGACCGTTTGTAACCGATCGTGACCATTTGTGACCGATCGTGACCATTTGTGACTAATTAATTGTGACCAACTGTGACCAATTGGAATCAATTGTAACCTGAAATTCTGAAATTTTTTTGGAGTGGTAATTAAAGCAGTTTGTCAGAGGAATCGTGAATAGTGGCCGGAGCGGCCGTCCGAACTGTCGTCGGAGATCGCCAGAACTGTCATAGGAGCGGCCGCCGAAGTAGATGCCGCCTCCGATGGAGAGAAAGGGTAGAGAGAGGATAGAGAGTAGAGAGAGAGAGAGATTTGGATTTGAAATTTAATAAATTTGGATAATTGTATTATATTATAATTAAAAATATTTAATTAATTGATTTAAAACCTGATTTTTGAAAAGATTTTTTAAGTTTGTTATTTTTGAAATGTGATTCTTATTTATAGGATTTATGTATTGTTCCCTTCAAAAAAACTACCGGTAGAGTGCGTATGATTGTCTTTATTTTTCATGGAAAATGTCTTTTTATTTATTTATCTAAATTTCTACTTTTGGGATATTTGATTAACAATGTTTTCCAACTTTTACTCATGTGATCATATTTTCTTTAAAAATAAGGAAAATATCTTTTTTAGGGGGGATGATTTTTATTTCCACGTAATTCACTCTCTCTCTCATCTATAACCATCTTTCTCATCTATCTGTCAATAAAAAATGGATAAATATAATATTTTCTAGGTTGAAAACTAAATCAATCAAATACATATAATTAATGATTTCTATACAAATAAGTTTTAAACAATTCAATTGCGTATAATTTATTTTCTTTTCATGTTCACAATAAAACGTACTCTTATATCTCTATTTGTTTAATTTTCTTGATCTTCTTTATCTGGTTAAAAGAGTTTTCAAATAAAATAGAACTAAGATGACTTCCTCACGAACTTTTCTACAAAAAGTAGAAGCATAAGCCCCGGAATATACGTAACTCTTGTGAATTAGTTCACAACTTCACTTCAGCTATTTCGCACGTGGTAACTACAAGTTTGTTTCAAACTATCTCATTTTGTATTTATGGGTAATTTTTGGCACTATAGCTACGTGATTAATGATTCTTGCAAAATGAATGGATTCCAAGATCCACATATGGACCACTATTAATTGCGGTGGCCCATACCATTATTAAATGTAGCCTTCCAAATCTCACTCACTGATGCACCAACTCTTCTAAGATATTCAATGAATGAATTTTCTATTAGATCTAAGGATTCTTCGAATCCGGTCCAAGTTATTCTATACATATACATATAGGTCCGTTTCATGAGCATGCTCCAAAATATTCAATCCAAAATATTCAAAAAAGGCGAGATTCGCGACTTCTATGCTCTCAAAATGTTCGAACCTAACTTCCGTGAATCTTGGGAAGGATTTACAAAATATAGAATTTTTGCTGTTAAATTGAGGTTTAGAGATATAGCTTCAAGCCCAACTTTCGAAACAAGCGTCGTGGGCACTTAGTCCTGTTTGATAATTATTATTTGAAAATTCTTTTTTCTACATGCTCATTTTTAATCACACATTCACACAATTAAGTATTTTACACGTAAATTTAATATATTTTTTTAATCATACATTCTTCTAAAAATCACTATGACCCTGTTTGATTGCAATTTTTTTACGGAAAATGTGACATTCGAGGAAAACGAATTCCACTTTGTTCGTTTGATTGCAACGTGGAAATGGAAATTGAATTCCAATGTACAACCATTTTAAACTACATTTTCTTTATTTTTATAGAAAACGAATTTATATGAATTTGGTGGATTTTTATTTTTCAATTAATATGAAATTGAAACATCTTTTCACCTTTACTCGGATCCTATGTTTTTTTTGAAAATAATGATTGTCCTTCCCTTCCCTTCCCTTCCCTTCATTGTAAGCTAGACCAGCTTCTGGAAGCATTAATTAATCTAATTATTTGCTAGGTTTCCATTCAGGACTGGTGAAGTTTGACCGTTGACTATGGCTCCTCGTGACTCGTGTCCTCCCATAATTTATTTTACCAGCCAATTATGAAAGTTAACCTATTCAAGCTTAACTATATTGACAATTTCTTGCTAGTATATATAAATTATTTTTCGAGCAAAATATAAAAAATTATAACATATTGGGGAAATTCCTTTTTCTTGATCTGTAGCATGGAGGGCGTTCTACCTGTTTAGCTTGACCTCTAGCCTTCACGAAAAAAGAGCACGAGTGTTCTTCAAAATTATTAGCCTCGAGATGCTTGCCAGCTATATTCTTGTTCAAAATTTTCACAAGAAAATTTGGTACGTAAATTTACTATCCTCTCGTGAATTAATGACATTTCCGAAAAAGGATTTCGTGGAATTATTATCATCAAACTTAGCCATATTGTAGTCCTCTCAGTACATGGCCAAATATAAAGGGACTAAACCTTTTTACGTTGATCTTAATTCATCTGTTTTATTTTTACGATGTACTTTACATATTGAGTGCTCATTTGGTAAAGATTAAAATCCAATTAAAATTGAAAAAATATTCGTTGTTGGGTCACACTCGTCTAATAAAAGTCAATAATAACGGTTAGTTTTTCAATTTTAATCTCATTTTAATATCTATCGAACACTCTCTAACACTCCAAGGAAATTTAAAGAAAATATATGTCGTCTTTATACTTTAAAGAAAAACAAAATCACTAATAGTAATGGATTTTTGATTCAAAATAAATTATGAATATCTTTTTATAAATATAAATATAAATATTAACTTGAGAATTAAGAAACTAACCCATGTCAGTTGAGTTAATGAATGCAGATAGATCCATGTTCTGATGATTTGACGGCGTCAAAAAGCTGACGGAGAAAGGCTTCCCGTGACATCTGCATTTTTCTTTCAGCTCACGCATTGCGTGCGTCTACTCATTATGATAAAAGGGTCTTGTATTTACAAATATACCAGATGAATTTCAATTCAATGATCGCCGGCAAGCGGAGTATTCCGATCCACCAACGCCGGCGACTTAGCCTTGGTGGAGTCTCAAACTCCAAGGACTCTGCAGAAGACTTCTTCTCCGATGAGTCTGATGGTGCGTAAATATTTTTTTGCTTTGACTTTATATAATTCTAGCGGTCAGTGATAAATAAACTGTAGAAGATGCGGGGACAAATGGTTTGTGGTGTGATTTGAAGACAAATCGGTTCGAAAACGACGGTTATTTTTGGCAATATCAGTCAGGAATAGTATGTTAACTGTATAAGATGACGTCGTGGTCGCGATTTGTGTTGCAGCTGTTTAAACGCTTTCTAGCTGTATTATCCATTTCTTTATTAGCAAATTTACCTCGGTTCCTCTTTTTGACATTAATTCTTTGTTATTATTATTATTATTTTCTGAATTTGATGATTCGCGAATTTAGTATCAGAGAAATTGGGGAGACTCTCAATTGAATCAGCAAAACAGGGGAGAAGTGGACTGGATGATCTATTGTTATCAACTGATGGCGGAAAGCATGACTACGATTGGTAATTCCTGAAAATATTTTCCTACCAGAAATTTGTTTTACATTAATTAGTTAAATAATATTAAGTTGGACAAAAATGCGCCCCTATATGAGTTATATTTTTTCGTTTTCACTTATTGCTGGATGAATTCTAGGTTTGCTTAGTTTCTAAAGAGAATTAGGAAACCAATATTCAGTTTTGTGGTTTCGCAGTATTCCTAAAAAGACAACTTTCGCATGAATTAATATTGTAGTTCCCCTCCGATGGTTGGGACAATTGCATCATATCAATATCAAACTTGTTCCTTTTATGTTAATCGGAGTATCTAACTAAGAATGTAGTTTTAGTCTTTTTAGTGTTACCTTTTTTTTGTATGTGGAGATAATTGAAATGAAATTGCATGTGCACCTTTTTCCAGCTCATTTAATGCATTTAGAATAAATTATGGTAGTTCAAAAATAACCAATTCTAGTAATCATAATCCAACAATATTTAGCTGCACCCAAAAAGCCTATATTGGATTTGAATTACATGAAGCAATAACGGGACATTTTATTTGTCTCTGCCTATGCTTACAACCCTTATATGTAACAGGCTTCTTACTCCTCCT